TGTTAATTATATTCTTGGGTCAATTGCAAAAATGCCATTTTTGGTGTGTACATTTGCAAGAATGCCACTTAGGAGTATGTCCATTTACAAAAATGCCACTAATTATGGATTTTTAAAACCTAAATCATAAAATTATAAACACTGAAAAATGTTTTGACCCCTAAAACTCTCAAAACTAAACTCTAATACAACATAGTTAATCCAAACATAAATGATATAGCAAAAAAATAATTTTGAAAAAATGGCATTTTTGCAAAATTTTTGAAAAAGTGACATTTTTGAAAAGCGACACTTGAAAAGTGGTATTTTTTAAAATTTCTCTATAATATATTTTACTAAATTATTTACAAACATTAAAAAATGATAATCTTTTATTAAATTATTTTTTTCTTCTAAACAAATTTATTTTGTAGTTTATAAATTTGTATAGATAAATTCAAACAATATCAGTGATTATTTATTGTGTTTTTGCTTGTTATATTTCCAATTAGGTATCAGTTTATTAGTTTTCTCAATTTTCATCTGCGATATTTCTTTTGTTTTTAATGTTCATGTCACATCTTATATAATATATAAAGGTTTTTCAAAATTTAAGTCATGAGAGATTGTCATGTGTAATCTAACTTTTTGACATTTGTCTTTTCAAGTTATTTATTTAAAAAAAATTAAGTATTTTTTTAATAACTTTAGCAATTAATTCTAACAATTTAATTGCTAATTCTTATGTAAATTAATTCTAACAAGTTATGAATAACTATTTTGTGTACATTTATGTAATTTTTATGTAAATTAAAATATAATTTTTATGTAAATTTATATATAAAAATAGATATTTTATTTATCAAAACCAATAATATCATATACAAAAAAAACATGTAAATTTTTTATTTTTGACATAGGTAGTTGCGATTTTAAAATAAATAAAAATCACAAAAGAATAACTTTATTAAAAAGAAGCACAACATGAATAAAAAAAATGATGTGAGAAAATTAATTAAAGAAGGATTTTAGGAATTTTAAGACTGTTAAATCAAACAAATCTAATTGGAGAAATTTATAATTTAAATGTTTTTAAAATGTTTGTATAGTTTTTAAAGCCAATTTACCAATCATCCTCTAATGCAATTGAAACAATTTATGTTGGACAAAATAACGTTCCTAAACAAGATTATTGATAGAAAACTTTACTCCATCACAAATTGTAAACAAAAACATTAGATCGATCATGACAAAAATCTAGTGTTCAATATTCCACAACATTCTACACAATTCCACAACTTTGTTTATACCATTTAGGCCCAAAATGGGGAGAAATCAAGAGCCTTTAATCATAACAACATCGAAAACGTAACTAAAGATTAAGGGGTAGGTGTTATATTCTTCGTTAGAAAAAAAATTCCTACCATCAGTGGTCAATAATCTTGAAACTTATAATAATTAAGAGAAATTCCATATAGATATCATTGACTAATAATAGTGAGAAAAACATTCGATAAATATTTTGAATTTTTTTTACTTCTTTCATAATTGTAGAAACATGTAAATAACATATCCGGGCGTAATTTGAAATATCCCCTAATATATATAAAGTTGTAACATAAACGAAATATAGACTAAGTTGAACAACTAAAACAAGTGGATTTTAATCGTATTAGCACTGAGAGGTGCGGCAGTGAGTGGGCTTTGGAGGTAGATCTGTTGAACGTCTCTTCCAGAGATAGATCTGTTAGAGGTTGACGGATTCTTCTTCTTCAGTTGCGTTTTCCCGGTCATATTTACTCTTCATAGTCCTTTTCTCCCTCTCTCGTTGTTTTCGTTCCTCTGGTAAAGTTTTTTTCTCGGCTTTTTTCTCCGGCCATTCTTCTGTCTCTCTGTCGGATTTTGGTTCTAGGTTACTGTTGTAGAAATAATTTAGTAACTTTCATCTTATAGAAATGTAGTTTGAAACAAAAAAAATTAAGGTGTAGTTTTCAAAATTTAAATTTCTTTTAAAGTATTTTTCCAAAATTCTTCTTAATTTTAAAAGAATAGTTTAGCCTAATAGCTTAGGGGGTCTTATTTAATGATGGATTCTTTTAATTTTTGGTAGCAAATTAACCCAAAAAGTTATTTGACTAAATAATTATATAACTTTTAGGTAAAGATTGACAAACATTTAAATGCAAATCATGTAAATATTATACCATAACTAACAAACTAATGAATAGAGAAAATATTTCAACTCATTGAGATTTTCTGCTCATGCAACTACTACACATGAGAAAAATACATTTAAAAGTCTTTATTAACTCGTAAAATATTATCCATCAAATATTTTCCAAAACTAAAACAAATCAGGAATCCCGTAATTAACAATATAAAACAAAATAATCAAAAAAAGGCAAAACAGAGAAAATTGGAAACTAGGGCAAAAGCTGCAAATCCCTCAAACGATAAGAAATCAAAGTGATTTTATCTTCTACAA